TGTAAGATTCGGTGGGGAAGCCGGCAGGAGCGGCGGTGTTCGAGGGGGTGGAGGGGTGGGACTGCGGCCTGAGCGAGTGATTCTAAGGAAGCTGATGAATGCTGCCACTGATGGGTCATTTGTCCCGGTGATAGAGTTAGCCACTGCCCTTTGGGAGGAAGAATAAAATAAAGAAAGCTGGAGAGGAGCGTGACGGATCGGCCAACGGTAACAGAATAAGTGGCTGCCTCACACATGGCTACCGGATCCGACCTTCCTCTAATTGGACATTCTCGGGGAGCAAGAGGGCAGAGAGTGTGTCTCACAATACAGAGACAGGCTGGACATGGTGGCAGAGAAATAGGCATAGGGTTTACACAGGGAGGGATGCACATCAAAGATTTCACATCAAAGAATATAAAGGGATTAGACTTTCTGAACTGTGGTTTTGGCCTCCAAAAAGTGTAGTGCAGGCATGTCAATTTAACATTTGGTGTGTTTGATTAATATTCGAATGAAAATGTATGTCGTGGTCCTGTGAGGTTTACATTGGGTTTACATACATTTACCTAAAGGATTATTTAGAACGCCTATCTAATCAACCAATCACATGGCAGCTTCTTCAATGCATTTAGGGGTGTGGTCCTTGTCTCCTGAACTCCAAACTGAATGTCAGAATGGGAAAGAAAGGTGATTTAAGCAATTTTGAGCATGGCACGGTTGTTGGCGCCAGACGGGCCGGTCTGAGTATTTCACAATCTGCTCAGTTACTGGGATTTTCACGCACAACCATTTCTAGGGTTTACAAAGAATAGCGTGAAAAGGGAAAACATCCAGTCCTGAGGACGAAAATGCCTTGTTGATACTAGAGGTCAGAGGAGAATGGGCCGACTGATTTAAGCTGATAAAAGAGCAACTTTGACTCAAATAACCACTTGTTACAACCGAGGTATTCAGCAAAGCATTTGTGATGCCACAACACGCACAACCTTGCGGCGGATGGGCTACAACAGCAGAAGACCCCACTGGGTACCACTCAACTCCTCTACAAATAGGAAAAAGAGGCTACAGTTTGCAAGAGCTCACCAAAATTGGACAGTTGAAGACTGGAAAAATGTTACCTGGTCTGATGAGTCTCGATTTCTGTTGAGACATTCAGATGGGAGAGTCAGAATTTGGCGTAAACAGAATGAGAACATGGATCCATAATGCCTTGTTACCACTGTGCAGGCTGGTGGTGGTGGTGTAATGGTGTGGGGGATGTTTTCTTGGCACAATTTAGGCCCCTTAGTGCCAATTGGGCATGGTTGAAATGCCATATCCTACCTGAGCATTGTTTCTAACCATGTCCATCCCTTTATGGCCACCATGTAGCCATCCCCTGATGGCTACTTCCAGCAGGATAATGCACCATGTCACAAAGCTTGAATCATTTCAAATTGGTTTCTTGAACATGAGTTTGCTGTACTAAAATGGCCCCCACACTCACCAGATCTCAACCCAATAGAGCATCTTTGGGATGTGGTGGAACAGGAGCGATATACTTTTGTCTTTATGTGCATATACTTGGGCTGTGAGCACAAAATCTGCGGGAATGAGTAAAACTATGCTCATTATACGCAATCCCTCGAAATTCAAGCCTTGTAACACCAACAATATCCATCAGGTGCAATTGAGAGTAAGTAAAAGGACGTGAGTTTTTGTCATTCAATGTCAGAAAGATTAGAGATCAAGAACCTGCAGCTGGTATTGTGTCGGGAGCTTCAGATATTTCAGTTTCGCTATGTATCGAAAAATCTATATGTTTGACAACACTGGATTGCACCTAGTTTATTATTTCAGACTACAATTGGAAAATGTATATTTTAAAAAATAACCCACCAAAGTGCCTTGTAGGAGTGACTCCGTTACAAATCCACCCACATTTGGCGGTTTGGCGGGTGTTAACGTTAAGCTCTGCATACACATTTGTGGTATATACATTCTTGTTTTACAAGAAAATTCTATTAGCCCACTTTAGACATTCAAACTTGTCAAATTCATGTGAACTACCAGTCATTATAGTATAGTAGACTGTCTGCTTGATATCTACTAACACTTTATTCTGCTGATCCTCCAACAGACTTATAAACACCTATCCATAACCTAACAGTTTACTAAGTCTTTACTACAGTCAACTAGTACTCAAATATTAAAAGCAATTGTAGTTAATAATAATAACAATCATTTTCCTCACACAATTGCATACTGTATGTGCAATTTTAAAAGCATTTTCACAATTTGTGTGATGCATTTCACAGCAATGTTAATGTACTGAGGTGTCAAACTGCAATGTGGGTCAAAAGTGTTTTGGAATTGTTTCTAATAGCAAATCATCACCTCAGCATGTGCATGTCAAAACTAAGTAAGACTGGCAAGCCGGCAAAGTTTAATGTGCTTTAAATAGCAGCACTTAGGAATCCATCTAATGCGGCAAAAATATATATACGTTGACATAATGCAAAAATGGATGATTTAGTATGAGTGAATCGCATACAGCTTCCTGCGCATGAAATCCCCCTTAATGCAAGCAAACCAATGAGAACGCTGAACAATGATGACGCTGCATAACAACAGAACGTACGCGCCAAAGCTGCTGTGGATTTTATTTAAAATTTATACTATGCATTGACCGTTTTCAAGCAGCTTTTAGCTGTTGTGTGAACAGAACGATTCATGAGTGTCGCACGTGCTAGTAAATATGTCCGTCACTCACAAATGTTGTGTGTGAGCGTAGCAAGTGTGTGACATCCTTTTTTTTTCTTTCTTTTTTTTTCCTTCTGCAAACATTTTCCAAGCCAATCTCCCTGTGACTTTCCCCTCTCTCCACCCGGGTGGAAGGAGGAGGGGGGTGTTATCCAGCCTGGCAGCCCAGAGCACCCTTTTTGAAGCTGCTCTGAAGAGCATGGTCTAGGTAATCTCTGCTCGGCTGAAAGCCGTTTACAGAGAGAAGCAGACAGAGGAAGAGGTTATACTGGGGAGAGAGGATGCAATGGAGAGTGACGGAGAGAGGGAGAGAATGAAAGAAAGAAGAGAGGCAGGGGATATGAAAGAAGAGCGAGAACAGAGCCCAGGCAGAGGATGATAAGGCCTGGGGGATTTCGTTGCTGTTTTGGGGTCAGATTAGGAATGGGGTCTTGCTTTTGTCACTCGAGGAGAGAAGGAGAGAGACGCACACATCTGAGAGGCAGAAAGAACAGTGTTGTATTGTGGACTCCTGAAATGAGGAGGCAAGGTCCCTCTGCATTTGTTTTTTTTTTTTTTGTCGGATGTAAATTCGTGTTCCAGTTCCCTTTGATCTTTACACAGATTTTATGGTTTAAGGCATACGGATCAGCATTTATCAATTGATAGCAAATATTAGGTTTTAGTGTGTTTATGTTAACATTATTTTATGCATTTTTAATGTTAATTATAATACACAGCAAAAAAGCATCTTTTTGGACTTATTTTTTGCATCGTCCGTTCAAATCAGTTGTCACCATATGAGATGGATTTTTAAATTAACAATCTTAAAATCAGCTTACTCACAGGTCATTATTTTAAGTTTTGAGGTTGTGATAAAGTTGGGACGTTGTTAACTTTGAAATTAGTCATATTAACCAGTTTATTCCATTTTATGCTGATCTGTGGACTGTTTGAAGACATAATAGGCAGGTTTGTCAGTGACAGTGACATGGCTTCTCATACGTGACTCTTCAGAATTTCACAATGGTAGATATACACCTTCATCTGGAATTTTATTCACTGGTGTCATTGCTAAGGTGCGGTTGTGAATTTAGCTTTCTGTTGGTCAATGTGGTAATCTTTCACCTCTCACAAGAAATACCAGATGGTGTGAATTCCTATTTAAATTACTGAATTTTGCCCACAAATACTCTCAGAACAATTGTAAAATGTGATCATATACCTTTTAGACACTGTTACTTTAGATAGTATGGCTAATTCAATATTTAAACTTACATTTTGTAATATTCATCCTTTTTTATTTATGTAGTAAGTTGATTATTGCTCATCAGAATTTTTTTTTCTTTTTTTCGGTGACTGATAAAACAGGGTAGATGGAAAGAAAGAGAGAATGAGACATTGGTCAGCAACAAATATACCAAAAAAAGAGAGTGTCTTCACATGGCAGTGTTGTAATGTTGATCATCAGTTCTCTATCAAACGCAGTCTAGAGATAAAGTGATCTGATAGAACTGTCGAAACACATACTAACTTATTCAAAACAAACACTAGCCTTTAAAAAAAAAAAAACTCAAGGGAATATTTGAACCAAAAAAGTGAAAATTCAGTCATTTGCTCAACCTCATGTTGTTCCAAAACTAACTATACTATTATTTGTTTTCCATGCAACATATTAAACGGACTATAAAAGCACCATGAAAGTGGTTCATATGACGTTCAACCTTCACCATAGATGCCATATTTGATTTGAGGACTGCAGCGGATGTGAAAGTCTGATTAAGTTAATATTGACTTCAATTTTGGTCTGTTCGTCACACTAAGCTATTGTACAGCTTCAGAAGACCTGTAATATAGTACCTACTTTAAATCACATGGATGACTTTTATGGTGCACTTTTTTTGGGCATTGTCCTGTGGTCACCATGAACATGTCGTTGAATGGAAAATATCTTTGAAAAGATTCTTTAAAAGATATTTATTGTATTTCTCAAAAAGTATAACAACATACGTATTTCAGATCACATGAGGGTGAGCGACACTGCCGCAATTTGAATTTCTGGGTAAACGATTTCATTAATGCATTCCCAGAAATCATTAAAACTGCAAAAACATGTTTTATTGCCATGCAAATCACAATGAAGCTCATTATTTGCCTGGTTCTATTGCTACTGTAATCACTGCAAGGTTAAATAAGGTATCTAGTTCACCCAGTGGTGTCACATGACTGACTAACAGTAAGAAAACTCCCCTGTTCGTTTGTCGAACTTTTAAAAGTACAGCATCTTCCCACGTGTCTTTTATTCTCATCACATGTTCCCCTCCCTCTGCTGCCTCCCCATTTCTCTCCTACCGTTCGGCTTCATCCTCGTTCTCCTCTGTGTTTCAGATTCTTTTTGTGTTTTTCTGTATGTGCCGGCTCTTCGTCACCCCTCCCTTTCTCTTAACTGTGCTTTCACAGCTGACTGTTCTCTCTTTCTCTCTCTCTCTCTCTCCCGCTCTTCCACCCGTGCAGGTTCATCGGACAGAGTGACTCGCCACGCTCCGACTGCCCCCTTCTCCCCACAGTGAGTATTGTCATGCTAATTTTACTGATCGGCACCGTGTAGAGAATTTCTGTGGTCGTGGTTTGCTTTTTCCACATTCTGTACTTATCTGTTTTGGAGGGGGACAGTCGAACGTGTGATGCTTGAGAGGAAAGAAAGGCAAAAATGGAGATGGAATGAGAAGGAAAGAGCAGGATTTATGCGTGATTGTCAGAGTTTTGAGAGTTGAGCTCTGTGAGATTGGACCGGGGCTGTAAAAGTTGTGCTGTGTCTATGTGGAAACATTGAAGAGGGATGAAAAGGTGTTTAAAGAACCTAATTTCATATAAAAGCCGTTCATCCTTTTATGTTAGTTGACACGGACAGTCACACCTTTCATTCTGGCCTGTGTGAGTGTGGCTTTGCATTTGAGTATATGCCATTAGACAGCGCTATAGTTTATTTTTTCTTGTCAGACAATTTATGTCAGTGCTGCATGAATTTTAATATTCCTTTGACCTTAAAATGCTTCAGCTCATTTGAATTATATCCTTCAATTTATGTAGAAAACGTCCAATATTCTATTACAGAGCAAAGCTTGAGGCATTCACATTTATGCTGTTTTTTTTTTTTCTGTTTGAAATGTTCACATACTTCAATGTTTTTATAATCTAGTATACCTTGAAATTACAAATCCTAACCCCATGACAAAATACCTTTATCTGCTAACTGGCAATTTAGGACAGCACTTTTTAGACAAGGCCTGCAGGTGATAAACACACAAGGTGGTGAATTAATCCCGATTCAGTGACAGGCTGAAAGCAAAGGAAACACTGTGACTGATTGGTGTAAATATGCATGAAGAATTGAGGTGAAATTCTTTATGCAGGGTGTTTCATATAGTTGTCTTTCCAACATTATAAAATCATGGACTCGTTTATCTATGTCAACAGTAACTTGTAATGAATGCGAAGACAGCTTTACACAAAGGTTCATTTGGTTAACCTTAGCTAATGCATTAGGCATCATGGACTAATAATGAACAACGTTATCCTGAGCACTGTGAAATCAGACAAAATGCCTCACGGACTGTTTCAAATCGAATATCTGCGGTTTTCTGTGAGGTTGAATTTTTTATTATTGCCAAATGAACCAAATGTACGTCAATGATTAGTCTAGGTAAATGTTATTTTATAATTATACTATTATTCTTTGTTCATTCATGTTCATAATATCTAATTTACACAACTGTCTGGAATTTTAAACTTTCATTTGTATATGTAGAAATAATTAACATTAATTAAATAATAAAGCCTCATTGTGAAGTAGTACCTCTTTGCTAAACAGAAATTGAGCTGTTCGATATTACGCCTCGCATCACAACCCAACAAAAGAAAGTTTGAGTGGAAATGCTGAGTAAGGATAAGACTATCTAACCTCAAGCAGATTGCTGTTATTCCTTAGAAAAAGGAAAGTGTCTTGTATCATAATAAACCTTCAAATAGCGCTATTGATTCAATGCATACAATACAAAAACAAAGATATTTGTGTGAGGCTTTTAATTTATCTTTTGCTTTTCTCTGCAGTCTGAGAGCTTGCCAATGTCAGCAAACCTAACATTACTTACTCCTCAACAAATTTGTTATTCATTGCTCTTGCGCATGACTTGGATGGCCATTGAAACGTACTTTTATTGAAGGGAAAGGGACACACTCTGGTCCAGAGCTCAGGCCCGATGACACAGAGGGAGGAAGAGGACTGGAAAGGTGGGATTCTCTCCTCGAGAGACACAGGGCTTTCAAGGAGAATCTGGACGAGAGATGAGAGATGTTCCTCCGGTTAATCTGTACAGACAAAACATTGTTTCCGGAGGCAGTCCTTCGCTAAAAGATCCCCAAGGCTCGGAGATAGCATCGCAGAGGTTTAATCGTGAAACAAACTAGTAATCTACTCTGGTCATGTATTTTGCCTAGAGCTTTTCTGAGCACTGTGGAATCAGACAAAATGCATCCAAGCTTTTCGTGTGTGAAAAGCAGACTGAAGCCTAGCTGAGTATCACAGCCTGTTTCAAATCGAATTTCTGCTGTTGGCTGTGAGGTTGAATTTTTTATTATTGTCAAATGAACCAGATGTACAGTTGGTTGAGTTGCAGCATTTTGACGCCCTTGATCTCCTCTAAGAGTTTTTTTTTTTTTTTTTTTGATAAAGACAAAAACAAATGTTATACTTGACTTTACTCTATGCTTGAGAGAGGGCAGGAAATATTGCAAGTGAATTCAAGCTCAAGTCACTGACAAACAATGTATGCATTTTGGGCTTTGATGTGATACAAGCTCTGTTACCTCGGTATCGATACCTCAGGCAACAAATAAACCGCCTCTGGCTACTGATGAAACGTATCGTTTGCGTACGCACAACTGTAATGCATGCAAACCTCAAGGCCGGAGCTTTGACAATAGATGCAGATTTTCTTGCTATAGCTTTCACACGATGTGATCACAACAAATGGTTAATTTTCTCTCACAGCTACATGCAAAATCCTATCCGTGTGTATTCTGCCATATGTGCGAGCAGTCCAAGCACATGCCTCACTGAAATTCACTCTTTAGAGAGTGAATCCATGCACCAGTAGCACCCCTCTAGCATCTCAAAAACCCTCATGTTGTGACATTTCTGCTGTGAGACAGTGTAAAGTTCTCTTTTTGAGGCTCTGTCACAGTTTTTGCCCTGTGTAATGTAGTTTTGATACAGAGACTAGATCAAATACTCTGTGATCTTTCACGCTTAAATTATTTAAGGTCCCAAGATTTTTAAATTTAATATCATGCACATCGATATCTAGCCTCTCTCTTTCTGGGGATTAGACTCCTCAATAAGATATGATGCGGGTCTCATTTTTACATTGTGTCATGTTGCCGTTTTTCTGCTCATTTGGAATGTGACTTGTTGTTTCTTTTCCTTTTTTTATTAGGCCTGATGTATTACCTTTGAGACAGATCAATGCTGTCAGTCACTATAAATGAGAACCACTCCACCAATTATAGATGATTAAGTTAGCCTCCGCCAGTCAGAATGCTCAAATCCCAGGTGTTTAGGAACGGCTTGTCTGCTGGTGCAGAATTTGACTGAATACCTGAAAAGAATTACAAGGGTGGCGTTACTCATCACGCCGACCGAAAAAATGAACCGTGCAAGCGTGACAATTCTAGTTTGGATGCACAGCAAAACATATGGAAGTTTCATAAAATAACATGAAATAAATCTGCAAGACAACATGTCTGTTCCATTTCATTAGATTTATAAATTTCTATGACATTCTCAACATATGTGATGGGATATAAAATAAATTGGGCCTTTTGTAACACAACAGATTAAAAAACATTTAACACGGACAGTTTTTGCTCTTTTCTCATTATGATTAAATGCATTTAATTTATTTAATATATGAAACTATTCAAATAGGGCCTATGTCCGTTTACAAATTTTTGTTTTTGGGGTCTACTAGAATAGGTTTTAATGCTTGAATATATATATATATATATATATATAAAAATTCACTTATTTTACATTTTTTCAGGACTTCTCTTACCAGTCAATCACTAACTCTCTGTTTAGTTCCTGTCCCTCCTTGCAAAAAGTGCAATGTGCTCTGATTGGTTGGCTGGACCAGTGTGTTGTGATTGGTTAACCACTTCGAGCGTGTTGGGGAAATGTCACGCCTCTTACCATAACCGCAAGTTTCAACACACTATTTATGGCGCTTTTCCATTACCAGTACCAGCTCGACTTGCCTCGGCTCGCCTCGGCTCGACTCAGCACGCTTTTCGCTCCGTTTTCCATTGCAGACAGTACCAACAAAAAATAGTACCCGGTCGTCATAGGGACACCTTTCGTTCCTCGTTGCCCCATCAAGCTCTCGCTGGATCCTCTCTTCGGCAACCAAACAAAGGAAAGTCTGCACATCCTCGTTTGACCTCGGCGTATTCTTCCGAGTTGCCATAATAATAGTAGTAAGTTTAGTAACTATTTCTGGCCAAACTATTTAAACATGGCGGGGTTATTCTGGATACTCCATCTGGCGCGTGTAATGGTGACACAGTGAATGGTGACGGTTCTCTCTGAACAATCAGCAGTCGGTATTGTTTTCTCGTGACATTTTAGTATCGCCTTATCTCGCTCAGAACCTAGTCTGAGGTCGCACAAAAAAGTACTCGAAAGCAGGTACAGGTACAACTTTTACACAGTGGAAAACCAAACAAAGGTGAGCCGAGCCGAGTCGAGTCGAGCTGGTACTGTGAAGTGGATAAACGCCATAACTGACTCAACCAGGTCACCTTATTTAAATGAGGAATATTGTGACATGTTCGTTCCTGGAAGAAAACTTAAGCATTCAATCGAGGCGTTTCAGGGAGTTCAGAAACGAGGTCCTTCTTGCTATAACATAACAAGAAAGATCTCTTTCAGTACATAGTGCACACACTTTTAGTTATGAACTGACAAAAAGCTGCAATCGTTGTTTTGGCAAGATTCCCGTGGCTACAAATCAAATCAGTAACCACCATAACAATTTGCATAGACTTTGTCTTCACAAACATGCAAATATGTAAGGCAAACATAGCAGTCAATTAGATTTTTTGTCATTTACTCTCTTTTCTTTCATATCATCAAGGAAATCCTCTTACGTGCCACCGTTGCAGTGAAGTTGACACTTGTCAGAGCTACAACTGAGTGTCTCTTTGTTCTACCACTTCAGCTGTGTGTGCGTGTGTGTGTGTGTCATTAAGTGTGGATGGTGAACTTGCTGCAGATTGCCTGGAGATTGCCGCTCTCTCTGTGTAGCAGAGATGCCCCCGTCCATAGATGAGGTGCGATTGACATTTCTCACTGGCCCTCAACGGGGTGTCTGTAAAGATCTTGAACCCATTCAGACTGGCTCTGAAATCAAATCACTGCAACCGCCACTGCCACCAGTCTCAATGGTCACATCAATTATTTAGCACCAACTCGAGTGATCCAGAAGGTTGGGGGAATTTGATTTTGCC